GGGGAATCTCTGCTCTGGCGCCTGGAGCCCCATCCTGCCCCTCCTTATTCCCTGGCCTTGGTGTCTGCAGGGTTTTTTTCTGTCACATCCTCTCACTTCTCTCTGTCCAGCGCTGCAGTTGCACAGGGTTTTTTTTTTTTTCCCCCCTTCTTAAATACGTTATCCCAGAGGTGCTACCACCGTTCCTGACAGGCTCAGCCTTGGCCAGCAGTGGGTCTGCCTTGGAGCTGACTGGTGTTGGCTCTGCCGGACACAGGGGAAGCTTCTGGCAGCTTCTCACAGAAGGCACCCCTGTAGCCCCCCCACTACGAAAACCTTGCCAGGCAAACCCAATACACTGGTTAACAGCAAAACTGTTTCATTAGATGAATGTCCATCTCTGAAAACTTTCAGTTTTCACTGAAGAACAAACTTCTCAAAGACACTTCCTTAAGTCTTTAATTCTCTCACTGAGGCTGCTATCCCTCTTATTCTAAATGAGGATCTGAACCTCCAGAGAGAAGACAGTTAATAGCACAAGTCGCTGTTCACCTGGATACAAATTCTATCTTTAGCTGAAACATCTTTTGTCTCTTCCAACATGGAGGTTCTAAAAGAGCTCAGGTTATCCTACCTACTGAATCAAACTGAGCCCCCAGAAACAAACCCTGTATTTACACAGTCCCAAAACAAGACAACAGTGTGAACTTGGAGCAAACAGCCCATTTCTCCATCTATCTATAAAGGTGTATTTCTCATCTTTATGACAACTGACCAAATCAGTGACAGAAACCCAAGCCCTGAGAACTACAATCTTTCTGGACCTAAACAGGTGACATTAAAATTCCAGTGACTTCTACAGCACTGCTTCGCAGAGCTACTCAGCAACGCCAACTTTTGTTATGGAGCAGTGAGGAAATCTGTTTGTCTGAACGGATTGCAAAAGCCACTATAAGGCATCCTAAAATCTGGTGGGCAGCAATGCCTGGAGTTGTCCAAAACACAAGAATCTGCTTGGACAATCCTTTGAACAGGAAGTTTCTTTTTCACCAGTGGTGAATGATTAGCTGTCCGCATCAGCATTCACTAGTCGACTTCATCTCTTTGAAGAATTCTTGGCTGAGAAGTATGGTATGCACTTCCCTATACATAGCCATACATATTTAGGTACGTCTAGGTCTTCATCCTAGCAACATCACTGGAACAAAAACCTGAGAAATCCTGGCGTGCATATACCGCAACACATAAAGCAGCAACATATTTTTAATAGCTATTTATCAGCAGCTGGACCACCTTTCATGAAACATTAAAGAAATCCACAAAAATCAATTTGGATCTTGCAGTAAAAAATATAACACAAAGTACAACAAGGAAAACTTACCTGGGTCACTACTTCATTAAAAGGACTGCATTTGCACAATTAATCTTGCTTGCTCTCTCATGGGAAACAGCAGGACATGGCTGTACCACTAAATTTCAACTCAAATATACACTGAATACCTTCTTCTGGAGCACTCACACCATGACAGAATTCTACATTTAGTGCTTTAACATCAACTGGAAGAACATGTACAATATGCATGTACACCTCTGGGTATCCAATATGAATCTGATACAGATATTATTACAAAAATGATAGTTCAAGTTGGGCAGCACTAGCTATTGAGACCTCAAAACTAAGTATCCGTTATTTCAGAATCATCTCAAATACACATGCTAAGTCAAAGTGTTTCTTTAAAGATTGCAACATCAGCTTTTCTATTTATTGCAGCATACCAAAGAGCAGCAAGTAACCCCACAGCACTGCAAGCTTTTCTTTTGTTGAAGAGGTCAGTGCTTTCCTGTTACCCCCAGGAAGAGCCACGTTTCACATACCATTGAAATCTAAGAGTTCAGTTTACACAAAATCTCTTTGTAAATACATGCTCCGAATAGTTTCCCTATGGACATACAAACACGTACTTGACATAAAAGCATTCAAACTTAGTAAAATTTAGTATTTTAAGCGTTACCTTGCCAATCATTGTACTCAAGTCACCATCGCTCAACAAAGGATTCTGGGTATCCCCAACTCGAGATGGATCTTTTGTTGCTTTGTCATTGCTGAAAGTTCTCCACTCCGACCCTACGTCTATGACCCGGTCACCTGAGTTCACAAAAAGCGATAGTCTGCATTAATGTAACATTTTGAAATATTTCACGAAACATTAAGTTACACATTTGAGCTCTTCATTGTTAAGAAGGCAGTTTGTTGGCATTCCCAAACAGAGCAGTAACTTGCAGGCCAATGTACCAAAACTTTTGTGATTTACAAGTTAAGTTGAAGGCAACGGGGAGGGGGGGGGAAATGCAACTAGAGCTGCACAGAAAACATAACTAGAGAAACACGTCCAGAACACAAAGGGTTACAGTTATCCTTAAAGAGGATGGGATCTTCACTGGATTTTCAATACACAAAAGGAATCAAGACCTTGATTTCAAGCTGGAGGTCATGGCTGCCTACAGATGTTCTCGGCGCTTAGACAAATGAGTAAGTTATTGTAACTTAACAAGTTTGCTCACATTTGCCATGTGTTCAAAGCGCACATGTGAATTATCTATCACGCACAATCTCATTAAGCTGTAGTAAATCACTTCTGCGCATGAGCTCCAGGTCCTTGGTGCTCTGAAATATGCCACCTTCTAACCCACCGTAACAACATTTTACACCTCATTTCTTGTTCTTGAAGGGAGGCCTGACCCTGCTCAACACCACTTCATTTACAATGATGGACAGTATCAACACACAATATATATACACAACTATTTCTTCTTAAACTCAATGTATCCTGTTATACCTGGAAGAGTTTAAATACAGATTCAGAGTAAGCAGAAAGAGCACTAAACCCACATTCTCTGAATGACACAGCTTTCCTCACAATCCTCTACTCATCTCACATTCATCTGAACCTCTCCTACAGCAACTTTTCAGATTGAGCAATAACTCTAACCGGCATTCCAATGCAGGCAAAAGGCCTACAGTAATCACAAGGATACAATCCTAAAAAAAAAAAAAAAAAAAAAAAAAAAAAAACCAACACCAAACCAAACAATAAACCCAAAAAACCAAACAAACTCCCAGAAACCACACCCACAAACCCCCTCCCCAAAAAAGCCCCCAAAAAACCCCACAAACAAATAAACAACAACAACAAACCAAGAAAAGAACAACCCACTCCAGAACAATACCACAGAATTTTTAAGAACACATGCACAGAAGACCACAAAATGAACACTTTTCTTAGCGTTTTGCAGAAAAGCAAATTACAGCTCTGTGTAAGATATCAGAAGAAACTTCAATATAATTGACACCCTGCTTTCCTAAACCTAAGGAAAAATTCGCTGTCTGTATCAGTGTTTACATGTCTCATGAAAGAAGTGTCTCCAAAAAATAAGTCGCATTGACTGCAAGAAAAATTTCCGGTATGGAAGAAGTCTTAGTATGAAACCACAGAGGCTGATTTAATCTGGTGAAAACACAAACAGACAGACAAAAGCACTCTCCAAACAATAGCAATACAAGATAGGAAGCTGGAGAAAATACAGGAGCAATGAACAGCGTGGTGCAACTGCACAATTACTTGACGAGGGGGGAATCTATTCCGAATGAGAAGCTTTATTTTTAACATAAAATTATGCAAGGAATACGCTTGAAATTGAAAGCTGTGAATGAACCATGAGAAATCACCACAACCAGAAAGAATCAATTTAGGTTAGAGGTGTTCTCACCAATATTTGTCAGACGTGCTCACAGCTATGTTCCACCTTTATTTACTGCTCTAATGAAAACCAAGAGGGGGAGGGAAAAAAAAAAAAATCATCAAGAACTAGATGGTTAAGAATATAGCAGCCTAAAAGAAGGCACAGATCCGCTCTTTCTGCTACAAAGGTCTCCTCCCTTTGCAAGCTTAAATTAGCAGACAGCGTGCTCCTCCAGCTCCTGGACTCTCTGTAAATATTTGATTCAGTAATGCTCCTTCTATGGCCTAGCAGTAACTTTACTTTAAGACAACCCCCCAATACTGTTTACAGCATCTAAAAAAAGCAAAATGTACTTAAAATTCTGGCATGGTATAAATAGAACACTGAGTACAGGGCAATGATGTAATATTTTTTCCACACAAGTGGGAATGACCTAAATGA